GTCAAAATACTTTTATACTTGATTCACTGAATTTCTTAACTGCTTTTTCAATTCCAAGGATAAATGCAGCTCATATACCAGCAATGTGCTAAATTCACACTGGACTGCTTCCTCAAGAGCAAGGTTCAGCTATGGAATAGTTTTATCACACAAGCACCATGTGCAGCAATCTTTCTCACATGAAGAAAGGGTGTCAGATTACTGAGGCTGATAAACTAAACTAACAGGAACACCAAAGGGTTAAGTGCAGTTCTCTCACTTTTCTGAGAGAAAGGAGCGTATCGCTTTAGTAGTTATGAATAAATCCTCACTGTGTGGCTTGTTTTTGAATCTGTATCAATCTCTGCAGCTCAGCAGATCTATGTATCTGCTGAATCAGAGGTACAAAGGAACATGAGGAATCATGCTTTTGTGTTATCAGTTGTTAATGTTTTCTGGAATCTTAATTAACTCAACAATGTTAGCACGGGCTTTCTGTTGAACGATGAACAGAAAGAGTCCTACAGACGCCCAATTCCCAGTGCTACTGCCATGTTTAATGTGTTTCTGTTTCTTCTGACACGGAAGGGCAGGATGGAGGGGGAGTATGGGCAGGGAAGGATCAGGGAGCTGCAGGAGCAGAGGATGGCTGTTCAGAAGAAGACCTACACCAATTGGATCAACAATGTCTTCTCCAAGAACAGGGTGAGTCACCTGACTGGTCTCACACCCAAACAGAAACTCATACATATACATCCACGAGCACCAAACTCACACACACATACACACACACGCAAACACATACCCACACACACAGACTGACATATATACACCCACATGCACAAACACACACACATGCATGGACACCAGGATGGGAATGATATCTTGCCATTAGGGGGAGCTCACCCCTGGTTGGGGGGTGATGCATCACGCGTGAAAGAGATTTCTTCAAAAACCCGTCAAAACCCACGTTACTAAGGCTCCCTCTCAGACAAGTGTAAATTGATTCTGCGTCTGTGCTATCTGTATTTTAGAGACCCCCCAAAATTTTGCAAATGGTCTCTTCAGGGGAGCTCATGCCTTATTCAGGGGAGCTAAGCTCCCACTAGCTCCCCATAATTCGCACCATGATGGACACACACACATACTGTACACACTCGAACACGCACAGACACATACAGGGAAGATATTCATAGCATTCTGATTTAGAATAAAATGAGGAGAGAAAAACTTTTTTTCCTGAAAGTCATTTCACTCAAATTCAGCTTGGGAAAATTCTGTTTTTGTGCTTGGCTAGACTTACAAACAGTGGAACAGATTCTGCCTTGGAGAAAAACAAGCTTTTAAAAAACAAGTGTTAATACTCTTTATGTATATTTCTCCTAGACCATATTTCTTAATAATAATAATAAT